TGAAGAAAAAGACAAGATAATTTTGATTATTTCTATTTCATGAGACTTTATGAAAATGTACTTAGTGGCTGTGGATGGCAATAAGTACTATTTTACATTTCAGTAGAAGGAACCGTGACATTTTTAATGGAAGGTTTTCTAGCCCAGTCATTAAAATAACAATACTTAGCATACTTTCACAATACTACAAACAAACAAAACAGAATTGCATGGACTGGTGTAAATTACACGGGGCCTCTCCTAGCAGTGGATGTAGATACGTGTGCTTGGTTGGAAAGGCTGCATAATTCCCAAGCAGACGGCTTTTCTTTGCTGTAATTACTCTTGCTGTGAGTCACACCACCTTATTGCCTAGATTTGATAATTCAAATGAAAATATTCCCTTGAAATTTGAAAACCTAGAAACTTCAAAGTTGTTTTTAAGGAATTAAGGTCATTATTACTATTGCTACCACTGTTGTCCTTCTCAAGACCAGCTTCACTTTCCTTCATCAGTTGCCTGGCTTCCTCCCTCTTCCCAGAATTTACCAGTTCAGATTCCCAAGAGCTGGAACCTGGCTGCCTCTGCTAATAAACATTGCCTCTGTGTGGTAGTGGTTTTTTTCCCCACTTCCTGGGAAGATCTGTCATATAGTACCAAAGCCAAGGGAGTGCTCTATGCAGAATTCTGGCCTGTTTGGGACACAGTCTGAGCTAACCAAGTGTGGTGTGGGCTGTTGCAATCCCATTTTGTCTGAGGCAGGTCTGCACTACTTATCTTGTCAGAAACACTTGGACATGTGTGAAATAAAAAAAAAAATAGTAAAAAGACTGTTGTTGGTTGTCTGTGGAACAGTTATTCTTTCTACTGCCTTTCTTCCCTTAATCCTGTTAAACTGTGCATGCTCATGGTTTTCCATGAAGGAGAAGCTAGATTATTTACTGATTTATGTCCTTGTCAAAGGGTTGATATCAGTGTGGCTATATAATGTAATCCTGGAAGAAGACATTTGAGAAGATTAAAGCTAAGAGTTATGTAAAAACATTTGCTTACCTTTTAAAGAAGTGTGGACCATCAGACTAGCCCTCCCTTCCTCCCTCCCTCTCATTTCCTCCCTCCTTCCTTCTGTTAAATCTTGGGATATTTTTGTCTTCATGAGGTTCTTGGAAATCGCAGCAGCTACATTAGGACCATTTGAGGAGCCAGTTAAGAGAACAGCTCAACCATTACACTGATTGATGGCAGAGCAGAAAGTTAAAAATTCTCTTAGGCCTGGAGAGATAGCTCATTGGTTCAGAGTACTAGCTGCTCTTCCAGAGAACCTAGGTTTAATTCTAAACACCCACATAGTGACTCACAACAGTTTGTAACTCTAGCTCCAGGGGCACTGATGCCCTCTTCTGTCCTCTGCAGGCAGCAGGCACACCTGTGGTGCACAGACATACATGTAGATAAAATACCCATGCACATAAAACAATACCAGTGAATTTTCAAAAACAAAGTAGACTTAATGTCAGTGGTGCTGTGGTTCTGCGTGGACCAGCTCTGTAAGTGCTCTGATGTGGCCAGTGGCAGCTTCCAGGTATGCCACTGAGTGAACTGTCTCAGAGGTAGACCAGATGAACAAATTAACCCTTAGACTGCACAGAGTGAGAGTCCAGAGACATGGGTTAGCACACGTAGAATAGGGAGTAAACGGGAGAGGGACCACACTAGCTCATTCTGAGGCATAAAGTGTTCCATATGCTACTTTTTCACTGCTGCATCTGCCTTTCCTACTGATGATTCCCTACATGGTCCAGAACTGACCTTAAAAGAAGAAAAAGACTACTATTCCTAGTTGTCTGCAATAGTTATTCTTACAGTTATTGGACAAGTCAATAGATAGATGGCATCCTGTGAATTCTGCCTACATGTAACACAATTTGTCTGTTACTTACTCATCCATACTTAAAATGTATCAAAAATTCACACACAGACACACACACACACACATTTTCAGGCTCAACTTTATTCATCTAACACAGCTGAATATTAACTGAAAATTCAATTATAGTTGCCCTGGAATTTCTAATAAGAAGACAATAAATGTCTTTATAGTTTAATTCATCTTTTTTTTTTTTTTTTTAAAAAAAAAACTTCAGCATACATCCTAGCTGTTTCTCACATAAAGCAAATGGGAAAATGTATTCCAGAGACTGGGCAGATGGCTCAGTGAATAAGAGCACGTGTGTTGCCAGCATGAGGACCTGAGTTTGAACCCACAGCACTCACATAAAAAGCCAGGGATGGCTGTATATTCCTGTAGGGGGGCAGAGAAAGGTGGATCCCAGGAGCTCACTGGCCAGCACTAGGTATTTTGCCAATACTAGGCAAAATGATAAGCTTCATGCACATGGCACACACATACACACATACATTCATACATGAGAAGTGGAGGGAAAATAGGAATATGTATTTTCAAAAGTAAATGACACGTGGACTTTAGTTTCCTGACTGGAAGTATAGTCATAGACTCTACAGCACTACAGGTATGCATTTATGTAGCACTTGCTTGCACATTTAGTTTACATTCAAACAACTGTAGGCATGGTGCTCATGATGGGCCATGTGCTCAGAAGTTTACAATTGGGACAACTTTGGCTTGATGACTCATAAAATGTTTTTTAGAAGACTTTTAAAAAATTGACTCAATGTGTATAAATAGAGTGGTATTAAAAATTTATAGTCTCAAGTATTCTTTTTAGTTATTCATGATAATTTATTTATATTTTAGTGGTTTAAAAAATCTAAAGACTTTTTGGACCTGGAAAGATGGCTCAGTGGGAAAAGGTTTGACTGTACAAGTACCACAAGTACAAGGTTGTCTGTAACCCCAAGTCTGGGATGAAGAGACAGTTAGTTTGTGACCCGCCTGAAAGACCTATCCACCAGCACAACAGTGGCACAAAGTTAGGAGGACAACCAACCACTGAAACATTGGATTTAAGGCAAGTTCAATGAGATGGAATCCATACCTGACACTGTTAATGAGGCCAAGAACCTGAGCCTAGAAAGGCCATGGACCTATCTAGTAAACCTACTACTACTATTCTGCTAACGGTACATAGCAATAAGATGACTCCTAGTGATATATTGCTATACCCATTGCTCGACCCTCATCAGAGAAGCTTCTTCTTGCAGTAGATGATAATTAACACAGGCACAGTGAGAGACTTTGGAGCACTCAGCCCTAAGTGGGATATCTTTATCATTCCCTTCCTCTCAGTGCTTGGGGATCTACAGAGAAGAAAAGTGAAAAGATTGTAAAAGGCAGAAGTGATGGGGGACTTCAAGGAAACACAACAGGACTGATGCACACATGAACTCACAGAGATTGCCATAGTATGCATACGACCTGTACAAGTTCTAGCCGGACAAAATCCCAGTACTGAGAACAGGAAGTGGATGTAAAGTCCCACTTCCAACCAGAAGTTCTCTGTAATTGATAGCTGCTGGGAGACGGAAAAAACAAACCGTTCATTGCTGGGTGAGATTGGTGATTATTTTTCTCCTCTTGTAGCATGTATAAATGCCTTCCAGCACCGTGAAGCTAGTCAGAAGGGGTGAAGCTTCTAGTAGAGCCAAGCTCAATGACACGCATATGCGCTGTCTTCGGCAATGGGTTGTAGAGGGTAGCCAATAGCATTGCCAACAGTCTGTGATGTTTTGTAGGGGTGCTTATGGACCCCTTTGACAATGACTGAAAGAGTTGTAACCCATTCCTGGTACTGGGGATTTTATTTGGTGATGTGAGATGTCTATTTGGGTCATTCTCTCCCCCATTATATGTAAGTCCATTTAAATTCATTTTATACAGGTGTATATTTTAGGAAGTTCTACAGGAGTAGGTTTTCTCATGCAAGATGGTGCAGCAGTTCAGAGCACTGACTGTTCATGTAAAGGCCCTGGATTCAATTCCCAGCACCCACATTGTAGGTCACAACCATCTCTAACTTTAGTTTCCTAGTGTCTTGTGTTCTCTTCTGGCCTCCGTGGGCACTGCATGCATGTGCTACACAGACATGCATCTAGGCAAAACACAAATACACATTGAATAACTAAATAGATAAATATCTAATCAGATGAGCATCCAATTATACAGGAAGGTTGTTTAGGAGATTTTAAGAAAGATTAGCATCAAAATGTTGATCTTTTGCTTTCTATTTCTTTGTTTTTATTAGTATACGTGTGTGCGCTCGTGCATGCGTGTGTGTGTGTGTGTGTGTGTGTGTGTGTGTGTGTGTTTGTGTGTGTGTAGATGTGCTGCTTGAGTGTCAGGGTGCATGTGGAGGTCAGAGAACAACTTGGGAGAGGTAGTTATCCCCTTCCACTCTGTGAGTCCCGGGGACTGAAGTTAGGTCGTCAGGCTTGGCAGAAGTATCTACCTGCTGCACCAACTATCGTGGCAGCCCTTTTCCCATTCCTTTGCATTTTCTTTTTTTGTGTGTGATAGAAACTAATAATTTTTCAGAAAAAAAAAAAAACATACATAACACGTAAGATATGGGTAGCAAATTAAAACTTTCTGATAGAAAGCTGATGTGAAAAAACAAGTCTAAAATATCTTTAAAAAATTAGTGATGTTGCTACAGTTTCCTATCCCCAGTGCTGGATGGGGAAATAGGCTCTGCGCAGCCCTGGGATAACAGATGGTAGAGGCAGATCAGGTTTGTTTGTTTCCTTTAGAAGCATTAGCTGTCTAGCATATTCCCTCCCTCCCTCCTTCCTTCCTCTTTCCCTCTTGGTAAAGTGTCGATTTTGTTTTAAAAATCCGAATTAAAGAATTGTTAAAGTAGGTGTGTGTGAACCGGATGCAAGTTTTCGAATGCGATGAATATGCAAAGCCATCTTTCTTTCCCCCTGAAGCATTGGGGGGCAAACCCTGGGCCTGGAGCGTGCTTGGCGGCCTCTCTTCGGTTACTGGATGTCTTCAGCGGCACCACCCTCTGTAACTGCCATTTCTCTTTTGTTACTGCAGTGAGCTGCTGTCCTCTGGTTATGTGGAGAGACACATTGAACGTGGAGGCAAGGCCGTGGAAAGCAAAGTAAGTGAAAGTTTCCTTCAGTTGTGGGCAATCTTTAAACACCGAGTTGGGGACCCAGGCCTTTGTACTTGCTGGCCTGGCACTCTGCCCACCGAGCTCTGCTCCTTAAATGAAAATTGTACCTGATTTCAAGAATGCCCAGAGCTCAGTCTCTCCAAGGCTCTGCTCACTGGCATAGAACTTCTGTTTGTGGAAAGTCAAGTGTAGTGCATTCGATTTGGGGTATGCATATGAATGTGAGAAGAGGAATACATTCATATGAAAAATGTAACTGCTGCTTTGGTAAATCTTTAAAATTGTAATTTTAATTTAAAAATATTTTAAAATGTAATACTAAGACAGCGATGTACATAAAACCATCTATGGACTGATGACTTGTTAAAAGTATGCGCCTGTGACTTCCATCCTGTTCCAGCTTGGTCAGGGAGCCCACCTGTTGCTTTGCACACCCAAGCCCCGCCTCCTCCTCCTGCAGAGACCCCGGTGAAGACCACCCTCATTGTGAGGCTGTCCTTTTAGCACTGTGATTTAGAGTTTTATTACCAAAGCACCTGACTCTTTAGTTTTGTGTATTTGTACTTTAAAGTGTCTTGAAATTTATTCTATCTTTTGTCCTCATAGTTTACCTGTTGAAGAAATGAGATTGTTTATCTTATGCAGTTTCTCATAGTCTGGATTTTAGTGTTGATTGCAGTTTTATATTTAAAGCAAGTAAAATCCACCTTAGTGATGGTCTTTAACAGGTAATCACGTAGGGCCTTTAGTGCCTTGAGAGTCTTTTAGGTTTCATTGAATATAGTTTTATCTTGCACAATCCTGGTTTTAAAGTTCTTTTATAGCTATTTTTATACCTTTCCCCTCCAAGGTTATAAAAAGCCTTTATGGACAAAAGAGATACATATTCTTTTAATATGACAAAAAAATTCATCTTTAACTTTTATGTGTTTTTGATTCATTGAAAACGAAGCTCCAGGAGCTATGGAGATGGTTCAGTCAGGAACATGTCTACCGTGCAAATGTGAGGGCCCGAGTTCTGGTCGCAGCAGCTGTGTGAGAAGCCAGGCTGGAGGCACCCTCCAGCAATCCCGTCAGTGGCGAGGCAGAGATGAGAGGGAGGATTCCTGGGGCTGGTCGGCCAGCCAGCTTTAACCGCATTGTTCAGCTCCATGTTCATTGGGTCTCATAAAACTAAGGTGAAAAAGGATAATAGCTAACATTTACTGCTGAAGATTTGGTTGTACACAAACTTGTGTGTGTTCCACCCTCCAAATGATCTGTTATCATCGATACAACTGTTTTCCTGCTTTACAGAGAGCTCATATAGCTGCATTGTGAGCCTAGATTACCCAACTTTATGGCCAAGCCATCTCCCAGAGATCATCTACTGGATAGATTATATTCCATAAAATGGGAGGGCCATGAAAAGTTGAAATGGATTTTATTAGTCTTTTTTATGCATGTGTAATTGGCTTTGGAGGTTTTAATAACAGTACCAATACATTATTGCCTTTAATCCATAAACAAAAGTGGAAATTTACCTAAAGATGCTGTAGGTTTTCTCTCAGCTTGGGTTAAACTAACTTTACTTAGTTTTTCTGGATTATCAGTTGCTTTGGGCAATCCTGCTTCCTTTTCCTCACTTGACCATCTTGGGAAAATAACCCTAGCACAAGTTTTCGAAGTGAGGAAAATAGTTTTCATGTGTCAGAAACTTGTACCAGTGGGTGAGGGGACAGATTTCCTTAGGGTCAAAAATTGAAGTAAGCATTGCTGTGGAGATGTGATTTATCTGTCACTAATGAAAGACCATGGCCGTTCATTAGCATTATTAGTTCTGATAGTATTTTTGTTAAATTGTTTTATCTCTGATGATAATAACCAAAACAACGGCCAATGAGTATCTATTTTAGTAGTTCAAGTTATTAATAAATATAATTATTCCAACTCACCTTTGTTAGATTTCTCAACAGTAAAGTTAGGTGTGTTGAGAGAGTATTGAATTTTGGCTGGCAACTACCTGGTTACTACTCATTGATTTGGTACATCTGATTTCCCCAGCAATCATTGCTGCAGAGTCTAATTGGGTTCTCAGTGGCAGGGGACAGACGGATAAGAACACGAAGGAGTGTGGGTCAAGGTTAAAGTCTGGAGTGGGTAAAAAGATTGAGGAAAGTGCTGTGTGATGGGGAGCAGGTGTCAGGGAGAGAGTGCTTAATGGGAAGAGAGGCTATTGTGACACTAGAGCCTTTTACACTGATGAAATGTATTGTAATTTCATTAAAAATATTTTAAGGCAAACTCAAATGGCCCTTGTTCTGGAAACAGATAGGGAAGTTGATACAGAAGCAAAGAGAAAGCCTGGGTTTTCTAATCTTTCCTCCATAAGAGTTTGAGCGCTATGAAAGAGTTCTTGTGTGTGTGTGTGTGTGTGTGTGTGTGTGTACATGTGTGTGTGTGTGTGTGTGTGTGTGTGTGTGTGTGTGTGTGTACATACCCATGCCAGAGTGCATGTTTAGAGGTCGGAAGATGACTTGTAGGAAGGATCAGTTCTTTCACTCCACCATCTAGGGTCCTGAGGACTGAACTCAGGTCACCAGTCTTAGCAGCAAATGCCTTTATCACAGAGCCATCTTGCTTTCCCAGCATGAACTGTTTCCTCCTTGGCATAATACCATCTTCCTGCAGACACCTGTGCTACTGAATTCCTTTTCCATTCATTTTCCTGAATCAGATTTCCAGCTCATTTCTTCCTTCCTAAAATAGAGATTTTTTTTTCTACTTAAAATCCTACCATAATCATTTGGTTTTCTTTAATGAATATGTCAATAACAGGGGAACAAAAAGATACTATAAGGACAGTTGTAAGAAATCATTCAGAAAAAACGTAATGTGGTGCCTGTTAGGGCAACAGGCATTTTCCTAACTTTGTATTTCCTAAGCAGCACCAACAGAAAACTGCCTGTGATCTCTATTGCACTTAGGGCTTCTCGTCTCCTTTTCTAGATTCCTCTCCAAGAAGCACGATTACTAACCTTCAAGCAATTCAAAAGCTTCCATTTTTGTCATATATCTTGAGGTGTTTATTTGTTAAAAGAAAAAAAACCCACAAAAAACAAAAAGCCTTGACAAATACTTCTGTAGTGTGATGAAATGTAGACTTCTTTCTTAAGTCAAGCACAATCAGTTTCCATTAGTGACAGAATTTGGCTCAGCTATGATGTCATTGTTTAGTGATTGCATCCTAGTATTTCTACTTTTTTTTTTTTTAAATGACAGGACCTTTAGTTCATGTATCCTTTTATATGCAATTTACTCAAATTGTTTCATATAACTGATTAGTACAAAAAATACTTGAATGGTTTCTCTTGCATTCCAAGAAGTACATTAGGTATTAAATAGTTAGTACATCTCATAAATATATTTGTTACAGCAGAAAAGATGAACACAGATGTAGCTGATTGTTTTTTACTCTTTTGGGGGGCCTGCCACTCAGCTCCCAAATAAATCACATGGAGGTTTATTCTTACTTATGAATGCCTGGCCTTAACTTGGCTTCTTTCTAGCCAGCTTTTCTTAAATTACCCCATATACCTTTTGCCTCTGGGCTTTTGTCTTTCTATATTTCTCTATTTCTTTCTTTACTTCTTACTTCATGGCTTGCTGTGTAGCTGGGTGGCTGGTCCCTCTCCTCTTCCTCTCTTCCTTTTCTTGTTTTTTGATCTTTCCATACTTCTCCTCCTATTTATTCTCTCTGCATGCCAGCCCTGCCTATCCTTTCTCCTGCCTAGCTATTGGCTGTTCAGCTCTTTATTAGACCAATCAGATGTTTTAGACAGGCAAAGTAACACAGCTTCACAGAGTTAAAGAAAAGCAACACACCTTGCTTCATTAAACAAATATTCCACAGCATAAACACATGTAACACATCTTTAGCTAATATTCTACAACACACAGAAGTCAATCTGCTTTTACTTATCTTGGACATTGAGTTTCTTTATTGATTCTCAAACCTTCTTTAACCCTGCAGAATCATGGTTCCTTCTATAAGAACAAAAATATTAAACCATTAAGTAGGGAAGAAACCTGGGCTTTGGTGTGCAGTGAATTTTGCTGAGTGTATTAGAGCAGAGCCATCCTCACCATTGTGTCAATTGTAAATTAGAAGCAGACACCCGTCTTTTTCTCAGGTAGCTTTTTAGGGCATGCTCCATTTTGGAAGCTACCTTTGAAATGCAATGCAAGCAGCAGCTGCTGTTGCTGAGTGATCCATACCAGGCTGTTCTCTCTCTCTCCTTACCATCCCCTCCCTCCCCTCCCGTCTCTCCCCCTCTCTTCCTTTTCCTCCTCTCATCTCCTCCAGGCTTTACTATGTAGCTCAGGCTGGCCTTGAACTCAGTTATCTTGATACATCCTCTTAAGTATGCTACCATGCCTAGATTACTAAACCATTTTCTCCTTATTCTGTTTTTGTTTTTTTGTTTTTAAAGAAGAACTCAGCAGCATCCTTCCTTTTCCAAGATGCCCCTCTTACTTACAAGTTTATCTTATATTTGTGACACATGGTTTTTGTCTGGAATTCTAAATACAGTAGCTTTTCCAGCGACTCTTGGATATTACTTAGTTACCTTAAGAGTCGCTGAGTCATATGGGCTGGGGAGATGATTTTAGAAAGGAATAAAAAATGGATCTATTTATAGAAGCTGTTACTTAAGCTCAAATCCTGCCGTGTGGTGATAGGGAGGCCTCCATCCAAGTGAGAGGAATTCAGTGCTGTGCATTTTAAGGCTGACTGGTAGGGAACGGCAACTGAAGATCCTCGGTCCTTGGAGATGCTCTACCCACTGAGCCATATCCCCAGCTCTGCAGTGTAAGTTCTTTAACAGAGTAGAAGTGTGCAAAGTGCAAATAATGACGACAAATAATTCATGAAGCAATGATCAGGCTATTTGGCAAGTGCAGCTACCATGTATAACTCTGTAGTTACTTTTTTTTTTTTTTTT